AATAAAAAGACGCTTATTAATATTAGTGAGCCCGCAATATCCATGAATATTGGACAGAGGATTCTTTGGTGCAACAGCTGTCACTTTGACATCTCAATCTTAGCGCAGTTAAACGATTACATAGGAGGCTTATTACATTTAGGACCGAACGTTATTACATTTAGGGCTTTATTACATTTAGGACCAAATGTTATTAAATTTAGGACAGTTATTACATTTAGGACTTCAACATACGCAAGCCCCACATTTTAGTTCCGCAGTTTTTTCTCTAATGTCTATGGCCCATGGGACCCAGTTCACTTGATATAGCACAGAAAAAGCTTTGCCTCAATAGCAGTTGGAGTGGCGTCAGTTGAAATGTGAGGGAGAAATCACAACTTAAAGTCGAGCTGCGATGACCTATTTTGGAACGGTTGAGGACCCACATGCTACCAGTTCATGTAAATTTGAGGTATGTGTGATTATCTTTTTGGAAAAACAAAAACGTTAAGGCAAACCTCGAGCCAGCTATCGATATTCTTAGTATTGCTAAAGGTCCTTCTGTTTTTCGTTTCAGCTCGTGGATGATCATTTTTCCTTCTTGAGAACAGTCTATCGACTTTATGATAAAGGACTGTCGAGTAGGACGTTCTTACAAAAGCTATTTCAAAACTGAGCTTTCGGTTTAGTTTAAAATAAGATCGATCGGGACTCTGAGGAAATTCATCCCAAAAAATTGCAGACGAGATTGAAGTAAATATGTTATTTTATCGGTCACTTCCTTCCACGAGGTTTCTTTTAGACATCTCATCGGAAAGGGATCGAGTAAATAGCTCTTAAGAGGCTGTCCGCGTAAGAACGGATAAGGCAAATTTCGGTCCAGCACCGATTTCCCTAAGTTTTTTAGTGAAAGTCAACAATTCTATCCCATTTATAAATATCACAATTGTTTTGACCAATTTTATTTATTTTTATTTTTTACGAGACAATTTTAAAGGTCACCCCAAACTGCTCAATTTGTCTTCTGTGACCCCTATAATTAAGCTATAAATATCGAGCGCTACCAAATCCTTATTTCCCAGTCTACAAAGCTGATTATTTGACATATTTAAGAATGGCTTTATTTCAATACTTCAACGGTTTCATACTTCAACGATTGCATTCTGTAAAATTTTTACCGAGTTATGAAACTTTCAAAATACCTTATCGTGAGCATTAAAATTTGTGAGGAGTGAGGTACATGCGGTTGAAAGCTATTTTCTCTTATGTGGGACCTGATCTAGAGTCAAGTCTATTGCAGCTTAAAAGTACTTAGATAGAGCAAGTTAAATATAGAATAAAACTTTTGGGCACTCCTCATCCTGCGCCGTAGAGAGCTTTGTGAATTTAATAAACATTCGCCGTCTTGATCGAAACCAACGACAACGCAGTCCGATCAGCAGACAGTTGTAAAGCTTAACAGCCCTAAAACACTTAAAGGTGCAGGAAAAATTATCTGATGGAGTATCAAGATCGATATTAATCATCATTTTGGCCTTTTTTAAACGAGATGGCTCAAATATTCCAGAAAATACTTTTTAATCCCTATATGCAAATTAACTGCAGCCTCCTGGCTGCAGCGATCGCGTTTATACGATACACGTCACAAACAGATTCCGTAACAACATTTAGCTATTCATAGAAGTGTTTTTAAGAATTTGGAAACTCAATAGTTGTATTCTTTCTTGAATGCATTACGTAAATTTCAAGAGCCATTTTCTTTGAACACAATGCGCTAACGGAATCCAGTTTGTTTTGATAAATAAAGTTGTTCTTTTCGCTCAAGTGTTTTTATCTCGTTCAAAAACTCATTAATAATTCATAAGCCCATTAACCTATCAAATTGTAGATAATACATCACGTGCAGTGACTATATCGATAAACCTCATCCTTATTAGTATGCGGTGTTTTATCAGATATAAAGACACTGCACGTGACTTATGAATATTAATTAATTATCAACACAGAAACTGACACAACAAATGGTGGGAACATATTTAATGTTCTTTCAACATATTTCACACAGTAAATTTACTTTTGCACCAAATTAATAGTACAGTTGTGAAATACACATCTGGAAAAATTCTCTATTCCATTAGTACAGTAATCTGGTAAAAGCATATTAGACAATACATCATCTGAAACTTCGAAAAGCTCTGGAACAGGACGCCATGTCCTCTTCGGTTAGTAGAAGAAAAGTACAAAACACGCGTGAGATTTGATTTTCTTGCATACTAATTTAATCCCTAATGTTTTTCTCGTATGCTAATTTCTAACGTTCACAAAAGTATAATTGTTATGAACTCTCTTGACACACGCTTTTCCAAGAATGTTTTTGAAGCCGTTCAAAAAACTCGCAGCACGTGTTTTATCGGGTCAAAAACCACTCGGCTACGCCTCGTGGTTTTAAACCCGATAAAACACTCCTGCTCGTTTCTTAAACATTACATAAAACACGGTCCGATAGTTTATCAATATCAGGACCGAGAACCACCTTAAAATCAAGTAGTAAATAATGAGAGGTTGGTTTTTACATTACAAATAAGTATCATATCACGTTTACACCGTTGTATTTGAGATATAGGTGTGCTGAAGAACAAACAAGGAGGGAGAGCTTTCTTGCGGTTAATAAATTACCGTATGCAAATTAGCTACAGAAAGTTATGTAATGTGTAGTCCAAGACACATTTTTTTTTGGCGTTTTTTTGATGACAAAGAGTTGTGTTTTTTTTTTTTTTTTTTTTTTTGTATTGTAGGAATTTTTTCGGTTTTTCATGACAAAATTTTGTATTATATTTTTATGACCACTTTCATTTTCTACGAGGCGCCAAAGAAAGAGCCGTGTGTTTCTGTTTCACCTAATTCAATTACTGATTAATTTTGATAAAGAAATTCGACGGCAGCTACATTTCCTTTCATTACAAGTACATCTCTTCAAAAAGACACGAAATGTTTTTTCCTTAAAGCTTATTAAAGTAAAAACTTTTCAACTTTTCTGTGTGGTATTTCTATCTTTTGCGAAAGAATATTTGGCAAACTTGTTTATTTCTTCCTAATTCAATTAAAAACTGTCGAGAACAGAAAGATTTTTCGGCAAGATTTTCAGACAAATCCGAGACAGTGTTTCTTGGGACGTTTTCTTTGCCAGCACTAAAAATGTCTGCAGTCCCCCCCAAATTTTTCTCTTTACGAAATACTTCAAAGTCCGTGCGGTTCTAGTAGGGAGGAAGTAGAGCATGTTTTGCTCTCGGAGTGTAACGCAGATATATATCTGCCCATTTGGCTAGCTGCCACTTGTCAAAATGCAGTGAAGTTACGGAGGCCAAGTTAATCATGGCGAGAGCGGGAATTCAGCATTTGTCGAGAATTCAGCTCGAGGGAATGACCATCTGCCCGAAGCACAGACACTTACTGGGAAGATTCTGGCGAGGTCCAAGACCGTGCTAATACCCTGGCCATACTAGGAAAGTTACAAGTGTGGCGGGCAGCCACGTCATAACCTTCCAAATAGCTGACGAAATAAGACTTATATTCAAAGAAATCGCCGCTGTGGGATCACGTAAGTATCAATAGCCTTGTGGCTCTCTCTAGTTCTGTTTCCTCAAATGCCAATACCCCTATAAGTTTTGTTGTAGTTGGTCACATGTCCATTTCCCTTGGTTAATTATTGGTGTCGCAGTCGTAAATACAAAAATGCGCGTTTTAACATCAACCAAGGAAATTTCTTTAATTCTTTATGCTATTGCTACACTAAGACTACTGGGCAGCCTGGCTGGTGGTAATGAAGGAAACAAATATAGTCCTGAGCGGTGAATCTGCATCTCCTTCCCATGCCTCACGCGATGTCGCCCCTCTTTTGCTCGTCTCTATGGTTCGAAAAAACTTTTCCTTTATCTCACACCCACAACGACAAGTGTTACGCACGATAGAGACTATAGGTCTCCTAGATGTGTTTGAAACGCCTAGTATTTCTCTTAGAAATGATTTAGGCTAAGCTAGACGATGACGATGATGAAGACGACGACGATTTATCAGTTGTATTGATGCAATTTTATAGCTATTTGCATCACTTGCCGGAAGAAGCATTCTGAGAGACTGTTGGGTTTGGGATGGCACAGTTCTACCAAAGGTTCAGTCAACCAGGAAGCTGCGGATTCTGAGAGGTTTGTTGGATATTTTATTGTTTCTAAGATACCTCACCACGCAAGGTGTTTATTCGCATGCCACGTCATACATCGAAAGCGCATGCCAAGTACGAAACTGAGACAAAGATTGTGTTGGTGGCTGCAGATTTAATTTTCTATGGGATAACACAGGTACCCCTCTTTTCCCTTGTGAATCCCTTTCTTTACCGACTCGTTCCTTCGAAGAGACGACATGAAACATATTGAACATGTCCAATAATGTCCGTTCATACCGTCAGTAGGATTGTTTTATCTTATGGAGCGGCCAAAGCTGATGCAAGAACAGCCATAGGAGCACATGCTGCTGAAATGGAGACAACGCTATTTCGTCAGATTTCTACCCCTAACAGGAAACCCTTTTCTAGTCCCTGTTGGACTCCAGCAACTCCTGAAGCAACTTTCCGTCAGATCCCCGAAACAGAGATTCTTGGTACTTACAATGCTGCGATGGACGAGGTTGCCAGAAATATTCCTCGCAAGCGACAGCCACTACCATCGCAGCTTGTCTCGTGGGAAGAAAGCAGTCCAGCCCAGCGACAGTTCTACATCGAGAAAGCGGTTGAAGACTGTATACTCGTGTGTAATGTGATAGCCCCAAACGACGACAAGACGCTCTTTCACGCCTTATCTTCTCCAGGTGGAGAAATGGATGAGACAGCAGAAGCCGATGATGTGTTGAAATCTTTGATGACCGCTTACAAAAATGCCAAACTGAAACCAAAAGCATCAAGACGCAAATTCTAAGCCTTTATGCGTATAAGTACTCGGTTAGCACATTAAAAGAACTTCACTCGCCATATGGAAAGTTGTCTACACGACAGATACAGAGAGCGTTGTCATGCAAGAACGATAGATCCCGGTCAAGTGCCTGAGGAGAAGATACACCATCGTATTCGCATTGATATGACCAAAGTCGATCATTTCGTTGAGTTCATTAATCGCCCATACTTTTATCAAGATGTGTCTTACGGAACTAAATTCCTTAAGCTAGACAGTGGCGAAACCATCGAGATGCCGAACGTGGTGCGTACCGTGACGCGGTCTACGATGATTAGCCAGTACATACAGTTTTGTCAGGAGAAGTTTGAACCTCTCAGTCGCACCACTTTATTCAAAATCCTAGAAGTCAGACAAGCTTCACAGAGAAAGTCGTTACAAGGCCTCGACAATACTGCTGCCGATGGCTCTGCTGGTTTCCAGAAAATTGAAATGATTGTCGATGATTTAGAGAAAGAAAGAATGAATAGGCAATGGTGCGCTGAGGTTAAGGAAAGGCTTAAGAGTGGAAAACGCTACTTAAAGACCAATTATCGCGTTCACTGCAATCCAGAGGAAGCTTTATGTCCTGATCATTGCCGCAAGTTCTCTTTAAGTGACGAACAAGATCCCGACTTCCAGGAGAAATGCTCCCATCAACACACAGAAAACTGTAACGAGTGTCAAAATCTGCGAAATGTCTTAGATGAAGTCGAAGACAAAATTCGAGGTCCATTTTGGATTCCTTACGGCAGTGAACATCGAGACGATCTGTTATACGACTTCAAACTGGCACAGAGAGATATTTTTGAGCGGAAGGCTCATATTGTTCTCTCTGTAGACCAGGAAGCAGCAAAGCAAGATCAGCTGAAGACGATAAGTACTAATCAGAACTGTGCACTGGTAATAATGGACTGGGCAATGAAGTTCCTTCAGCTGAAATATCGTGAGAAGCAGTCAGATTGGTTTGGCAAGAGAGGATTGAGTTGGAACATCTCGACGGTGATCACACGTGATCCGAACCTTGAAGGAAGACTAGAACTGCGGTCGTATGCCCATCTGTTTGACGCATGCCAGTAGGACTGGTTCGCCGTGTGTTCCATCATAGAAAGCACACTGAGAGAAATTAAGACCGAAAAGCCTCACATCACCTGGGTTTATCTGCAGTCAGATGAAGCTGGCTGTTATCATAATAACTCCCCCATTGCAGCAGCAAGAGGAATTGGTAAGCGGGTTGGTTTAGAAGTTTGTCGGTACGACTTTTTAGAGCCACAATATGGCAAGGATGTATGTGTTAGAATTCTGTGTCCGATGAAAACATGCACCCGACGTTTCTGCAACGAAGGACACGACATTCTATCAGCGGGAGACATGAGGAGGGGACTTTCTGAAAGACCAGTGAAAGGTACATCCGCATGTGTTTGCGAAGTTGACGAGGCGAAGATAACTCTAGAAATGAACGAGATAGATAGTTTTAGCAAGCTTCACAATGACCAGTTTGAGGAGAAAGGTATTCGTGTCTAGAGGTCGTACCGAATAGGGCGTGGCAAGGAAATCTCTTTTGACCAGCTGGTGTTAAAGGGCTAAGGGGACACTGGTATCATTGCTAGTGAAAAATTTTTCCCTCTTCATGATGCACGTGTTTATTGATGCTCAGATCCTGTGACAGAGAGTTCAGAAGAAGAGAATGACTGGGAAGACTCGAATATAAGCATGTTTGAATTTCCGAGCCTGGATGCGTGAAGAGTTTCCAAACATTTTCAGAGCTCGAGTCACATTTGGACGTAGGGGATCATTGCGTCAAAGATGAAAGGCCGTCAGAAACGCTCTATGACAAGCTTCGAAGAGATTGGGCAGACAGATTTACTACATCAGTCAACGTCTCTGAAAATGAACCGTATGAACCTAATATCCACCAAAGTGAAAATGAATCAATACCCGCGTTGCACACTGTCATTATGGGCTGGGCCCTACACAGGCCACAAGCAGGATCCATTAGATTCACTGACAAAGTTAAGAAATATCTAACTGCAAAGTTTGACCTAGGGGAACAATCAGGGCTAGAAGCTGACCCTCAGCAAGTCTCAAATGATATGCGCAAGACGAGAGATGAGCTGAATAGAAGGTTGTTTGAACGAGACGAGTGGTTGACTAAGAGCCAAGTACAGGGTTTCTTTTCTCGCCTCGCAGCAAGCAGAAGAAGGCAACAAGCACACTCAGAAATCGAGCACAATCCAAAGGAACTATTTCTAGAGGAAAAAGAAGCTGAAAGACAACAGCTAATGGCGCACATTTCTAACGAACTGAGGCCACAACACCCTCTGTCTTACGACGCCTTTAACTTGTGCGTTTTGCAAGAGATAATAAGCTGAGTCTTTTTAACGTTTCACTGCTTAAAGAAATCTTGCGCTTTTTTAAGGTACCATTTAAATCAAGTGACAGGAAAAAAGACCTGATTGAACAACTGATGTCCTTTATACAAGAATGTCAATGCTTTAATGAAGTGTAACACACGGGTCACGGTTGGGACGACTGTAAGTATGGAGCCCTGGCAAATCAATGATAGGGCATTTACAATGAATTTGTTGAGAAGCAATGTGCACCGCCTCTAAGTACCCTGATGTACAGTTCTATATCGATGAATAAGAGCGCTTAAAGCATTAACATGTAAGCAAACCCGTAAAAATCATTTTAAAATTGACGCCTGTTATTTTGTAGTCGTGCCTTTAATTTCAAGACAAAAAAATTATAGGCCTACCTTGATCGTGAGTCATGTTGACCCTCACTCTATAGCATGTACGAGCATTTACAAAAGAGACTTTCTCTTTTGTCTCCTCGAAATTTTCTCAATGGTTTATGCCTTTAGCTGAAGTTACTAAATTCGCTTACCTACTTTTGGAAACGTTTATTAAATTAAATATACCAGTTTCTATCGGTTGCATAATTTCTCAATTTCTTCAGGGGAGATTTTCATACTCTCGATGGCGAAACATCAACATATCATGATATAAATGCCGAGCTACTTTCACCCTATGCAGAACGAAAAGAGACTGGGAGCGATCAACTTGAAAACGAGGCTAGTTGGGCCTTGTTTACTCGTGTTAGAAATATGGCCGCTCATGGCTCTGTAAGTAGCCGTCTTTCTCAGAGTCTTACGGAGGAAGATATCCCCGGAGCATCGCTTCAGGGAAGAAATCCGACTGCTCTTAAAACAGATGAACTTCGCTTTTGGTTAAAATGTCGTGGCGATCCAGCAAAGGGGTTAAAAACAAAGGCACAATTGTCGAAAAGGTAAGTACAGTATTTGTCAGTCGTTCGTGATACTTTTTAGAATTAAAAGAGACTTTGATATTGTAAATGGAGATCAAAAGATTTAGGAGTTATTTTTCTCGATGAAATGTTTAAAAAATGTAATGATTAATAGTTTTTCTACTTTTCATTTTGAAGAGTTCTTGAATATGTTGCGTCTGGTCGTGATAAAGATGTTGTGGATCCCGATAAAAATCTGATATACACGCGTCGAAAGCAGAGATTCCAACCCTCCCGATTTGATCGGGAGTCTCCCGATTTGATGTCTTGCCTCCCGCTCTCCCGATTTTTACCAAATTCTCCCGATTTATCATAAAATTCTGAAAACTAGGGGAAAATTGCTAATCTTTAGAATTTTTGGCGATCTGTCACTGTGAAACACCCATATTATACTTACTTTCTTCGCGAAGAGCATTATGGTATGTTATAACTCAGGCCGGAATGATGTCAAAATTCAGGAAATGGCACTTGAGAGAACCTAAATTTGCAAAATTTCCCGGCCCCCTGACCCCCCTAGAAGCTCGCGCCTTTGGCACTAATAATTACTCCCTATTTTCCATCACATGGGGTTGGAATCTCTGCGAAAGGCGAGACAAGAACAACTCGCTCAAAGTGATGCGATACCTGAGGAAAGTACTGTTAAATTTCCATCAGCCGGATGGTCTA